AAACACACTTGAATTGATTTTCCCTGCAAAATATTTTTTAGGCAAATCTTTTCTCTGTAAAATATTTTCTTCCCACCCATTTTCCATCCTTGCAATCAAACGTCGATTATATCCATTTTCCTTTCTACATATACTTTGAAGTCCTATCTTATCCATCCACTCCCAAAATTCTGACAGAGAGAATGAAGGGAAAATCCGTTTACATCAACGGCCTTACCAAAACAGAATCAGATTCATTGTGGAAGTGGAAGGGAATCAATTTCCAAACTGGAAAACCCGAAAACAAATTATCCGAATTCTTCAAGGAAAGTGGACGTAAACTAGAAGATTCAATTCTGGGTCCGGGAATCGGAGCCGGAATCGGGTGCGGTATTGGACTGGGAATGGGAATAGCAGGCGGAGCCGGGTTCGATGGTTCGCCATGGAACCACCTCAAAATGGTGTTGGGCGTTGGATTCGGATGTGGTATTGGCGTCGGGTTCGGGTACGGGCAGGGAATGATTGGCGGAGGTTTAAGCTATGAATCCCTGAAATCTCATCTTTTCATGTCAAAATCCAAATCCAAATCCAATAAGCGAATCCAGATCTGATTTTATTTTTCTTTACTCTTGAATTGCAATTTATGGAAATCGGATGCAAAAATGATTTTATGAGCTCAGTTTTTTATTCAATTCCTTTTCGCTAATTCTTTCGATGCATTTAAATATTTTTATTTCATGATGGCATCAAGATATAGTGGCGTGGTTAAATGCATGATACATGTTTGTAGATATGCTTATCTGAGACTGAGAGTGTATATATATAGCAATCATGCTGCCAATTGTTTGGACTTATAAGCTCACTTATAAAAAGAAAGAAAAATGATCCAAACATGAATTTTCCAAATTTACTTATAAGTAAACTTTCTAAGAAGAAGTAGAATTATTTTTAAACTTCTCAATTGTCAAACACAGCATTACAAGTTGCTCTTCGTACTAGCAAGATTTACAAATCTTAACTTATTAAAAAAGTAAATTTTAAACTTCAAGTGAAATGATGGGGAATTCTTTTGAAGAAATAAATGAATTATGGAGTGTGGGTTGAATGGTTAGCAAGCCCTTGATCAAGTTTATTTGATCACCACCGTCTTCTCGTCTAGAGAGGCAGGATATGTCGTGTCATGTCATGTCATTTTTTAGACCTATGACCGGCTAAGATATGCTCACTTGGGCCTTTTTCTATTTTTAGTTTTACTCGAAAAAATCAAATTTTTTTAAGACCAATGACCTATGCGGTATATATAGATTTCACAAGGGTGCGTTGTTTGGCCTTTTAGCATTACTTGGAGACTTTTCGTATTGTTATAGGCGTCCATATAACAAATTACAATTCTAGATGATTCTATGACACATGAATGCCGCCCATCGAGTTGATTGTTACTTTCACAAGATTTCTTAAATCACCTTTCTCAGATGCTCTCGTAACCGCATGTGCCACATGACTCTCTCTTCATTTTGCCACGTGGTTTATAAGATATTGGCACATCTTCCCTTGAGAAACATGTTACAACTTGCTTCATGTTGCCTCGATGGTTCTAAGTTCGTCTGAGATCTAATTTGTTCCAGCGTGTAGGTTCGACTATAAGAATTTGTTGGTTGGCTTCATCTACCTTGGTTCTATTCCTTCGAACCCAATGGTTGGCTTGCTTTGCATAGATAGAACTTGGGGAAGAGTGATACTATAGCTTCGTTCATATGACGCGACTATGGCAAAGCTTATTCTGCTTCTATTCTATATTTTTGTCATTTTGATCATACTTGTCTCCCATTCGTGTCCTCATAGGATCATTTTATGCCGCGTTGGATTCACGAAGTAACATCACTTTTTTGACGCATGATCATGATCCTGAATTCTTGCATAAATTCCTTACATTGGAAAGCAACAAATTCAGCGAAAATATTAGCCACTGATAAAGCAGTACAATTTCTTGCATAGTGCATCAACAAGTTAAAAAAAGGTTGAAATGTGTTATCTTCATACATGTTTAAGATTTGCCTCAGTATTCCTTCCAGTGAAAAACTTAGCTAAATTTGGCATTAGCTTTCTTCTCCTCCCGACAGTGAAAGATGTCGATCCAGACACATTACGAACTATAGGAGATGCAGATTTTCGATGTTTACCTCGTCTTGCAGGTGTCATTTTTCCACTACTGTTCATCGATTTTCTGGGAAGTCTAATTTCAGGCTGCAAGTTTTGAGGCTCATACTGTTGCCTCCTGTTCTCTAACTCCTCCTCGACTATTTTCATCATGTGAAGTGATCTCTCTGCTTCATTAACCTCTAGATCTTCCTCGGCCCTTAGCTCTCGAGTTTCTCGTTGAGCTAGCTCGATTTTGATAAGAATTTCTTTTTCACTTGCTTTTAGAGCTTCGATCCATGCCTCAGCAGCTGCAACTTTTTTATCCGCAAGTTCCTTTGCCCCGGATGCATGTCCTGTTAAGTAGTCGTATTCAAACTTTGAGATGGTTATCGTGGACTTATCCCGAGAATTTGAAGGTCTATTTTTCATCGTCTTCTCAATAACTGACTCTAGATTCTTGAGAGCTGTGGCTTCTGATGATTTAGCTGTTTTCAGTTCTTGTAGAGCAATCTGTAATCTTTCCTCAGCCAAATCTATTTCAGTCTCAGTTTTTTGAATTTCGGCTTTGATTATTGCAGTTTCTTTGCTAATCAGAGACCGTTCGTGTTTAGCTGATTCAGCTTCTGATTTTAGCTGATCAAGAGTATGAACGAGATTTGAAGCAATTGATTTAGCCTTGTCTTCAACTGTGGACACTGCTTCCAATTTGGCTTTGGCCCTCAAAAGCTTCGAATTCAAATTCTGAATCGTCCTCTCTTTTTTTTCTTCTTTTCTCCTTAGTCGAGCTGTTTCTTCTGCCTCGTGCTTGAGCTCGTCTCGTACTATATCCATGGATGACATGAACTGAAAACTTTCTTCTTTAACTAAAGCTAATTCTTTCTTTGTTGCCTCGAACTCACCCTCGGACTCCAATGCAAGTTCAGACTCGGATGCTCTCTGTAATCTCTTGTCCATTTCCTTGATTTCCTTTACATGCTCTAACATTTTGATATCAGACATTGTAATAGCCAATTTTTCTTCCAACTCTTCAGAATCTTCAATTTCTTGGCTCATTTCGTTCATTTTCTTCCTAGTTTTCTCCAATGCATTTGAGTGTTTTTCAGCAGCTTCTTTTTTCTGAGCTTCAATTTCTTCGTATTCCTTAATGGCTTCGATTCGTGCCAACTCAACCAGCACGTGTTGTTCATTGATTTCATCAATCTCCTTAGTAAGTGATTCAACCGAACTCGAATAAGTAGTTATTTTAAACATGGAGGATTCTGCTTCCTTCTCGGCTCTTCTTTTTTCGTCCCAAATCGAAGCCATGTCTAGCTTAAGCTTACTCAATTCTTGTTTAACAGATTTCAATTCTCGCAACACTTTTGCATGGTGAGTATTTTCACTGTTCCTTTTTCCTTCACTTTTTTCACTCATTTTCAGTTTCTCCAGCTCTCCGATCTTTGTTTTTGCTCGTAAATTCGATTCCCCAATTGCTGAAGTTAGGCCTTTTACAGTCTTCTTCGCAGAAAAAAGCTCAGTTTCTGCTTGTGCTGTTACTGATTCTGCGAGCTTTCTGCTCTTGTTGAAATGGCTCGTGTCCCGTCTCACCTGGTGAAGTTCTCTTCTAGTTGGATACTTCTTCTACAATATACCAAATGTACCATTAGACATGAAAAATAGTGCCTAAAATTCAAGAAATGCATACCATAAAAAGGCCTAAATAATTATTTCCAATACCTCTGAATAATTATTTTGCAATTTCTTCACTTCAGAATTGCCGTCTGTAATCCTTTCTCCATAAGAATTCATGACTGAGCCAAACCCCCTTGCTTGCAACCCTCCTGAATCCATTTCCAGTGGCTCGTGCTCGAATCAGTAGACACCTGCTACAAAAGTTTTTTCCCGTTCACGAATTTTAGGCTCTCTAAAAACTATGTCTATGCAGTCAAAAGACCAGAACTAGATGCTAAGCAAGACTCCTCCGATAAGTTAGGGGTCGTCTACATGAACCTTTTATCTCGTTCAATCCACTACTAAAAGACAACGTGGTATCAGTTGAAATCTTTCAGAAAAGTTCCGCTCATGTGTGAAATTTAGGCAATCAAAATGACAAAATACCGTGTATGCAACAATATCAAAAGTGACCTTCTATACAACAATGCTGCTAAGCTCGACTCACGTTGGTTTCAGGGTCGTCTACATAAACCATTTTCCGATTCAATCTATTAGTATGTCTACTAGAAGATTGTGCTCGAATCAATTGAAAATTTCTGCCCCATGTGTGAATTTTAGGCAATCTAAATACCATGTTTTGCAATAAAAAGAACAGAACAATATGCAACATCATAAAAGACAGTTTCTACATTCAATAATCCGGCTAAGCTCGATTCCAATCTATTACTCCTATCTACTAAACCTAAATGCTTGAATCAGTTGAAACCTGTTAGCAAATTTTCTTACTATGTATGAATTTCAGGCACCCTAGAAACTAAGTTTTGCCATCAAAAGACCAGAACTATATGCTCAAATATCAAAAGAATGTCTCTAAGCTCGATTGCAGATAATTTTGAGCTCGTCTACACGAATCATTTTTCCTCTTTAAATCTACCGCCATACCTCCTAGCTCAAAAAAAATTCAATGGAATTTTACCTATTAATAAATCAAGAAGTCGTAGAAAATCTGTTGCAGAAATGCATACCTTAGACTTCTGCTTCTGCTAGAAATATAACTGTAACCTGGAAGTGATTTTTGTTCAGCTATGTAAGTTCAATAAGAGAATAAAACCATGAAGTATTTGATAAAAAAATGGGCTCCTGATGACTGGCTGTTATTGGTTGCATCACCAGCCATTGGATTTTTTCCCGTGGACCCCAGAAAAAGAAAAAGAAAAAAGAATTCCTTAGAATGTTACACCGACAAGACTATTTTTCTTAGAACTCCTAATATTTTAGTCACATAGACTTGTCTTTAATTAATGTCTTTATCAAGATTAAGGATCATTCAAGCCATGTAACATTTTCTTTCCAGCCAGTAGTTAGTGAAAGAGGATTGCGCCACTTTGCTAGAAGGATTTTGACAAATAGTGACGAAGTGTAAGTGACATGTGATTGGACGAAAACAATCTAATAATAAAACGTTACATTGCATTATGTCAACTTAGCTCCTCAAATTTTCTCTCCGAATTTTTATCTATACTTATAAATTGTATTTTCATCTCTATTTTTTTTTATTATCCCTTGACAATTTTATGGGTGCTACTGTTGAATCATTCGAATGAGTAGGGATGACAAAAAAACTTGTTCAACCCGAAACCCATGGGCCTCGTCCCGAACGGGTCTGGGATTACCTGCCTGATCGGGTAAATTGCTATGAAAAAATAAAAAAATTCGTCAGATCATAGAAAATAGCTTCACACCCTGGTCAAAGATGCAAGCTCTGCCACGTTGTTATACCCGAAACCGCGGGTACGGGTTCTTCTATAAGTTGGATCCATTACGTTTTTCATTTTACTCAGGCTCTTAAAGCGAGAAAACTAGATGAATATGACCACTTTTGTCTTCTCCTAAGATGTGTAGTGGTATATTTATAGGATTTATGTGATTCGAAATTCTGCATATTTTAATTCACACAATTTGTGACCCGTAGCTCATATTAAAGTCGCTTATTTTTCTAACATGTTCTTAATCATTCAAATTAAATTTCTGATGAATTAGGAATTGAACTCCTAAGTTAGGCTATTTCGTTAGACCTTGTTTGAATTTAATCTAGTAACAAACGTCACATTTAGGGGTGACAATTGGGCTGAATGGCTCACCCACTTGACTAGTCTGAACTCGATCCATGGACTGCTCGAGCATTGTCAATGGACGAGCACGAGTCGAGCACAAAAAAATTTGGGTCCAGAGCTTGCCAAAAAAAACAATGTGGCCGTTTGACACATTTCAAAAAAAAATTAAAATATGAGCTCAGGCCGAGTTCGTGAGCTCATGGACTGATTCGGCTCAACTATTTGACACTCCTAGTCAAATTAGAACTCAATATGGGAGAAAATTGAAATAATAAATTTAGCATTTATTTCTTGAAAGCTATAAAATGATTAACGGTCAGTCATGAATGTAGACCAAATATTTCCCTACACTCTCCAAACGAAATTGTGCATATTTTAATGGGATCCCTCCACACAAGACACAACTATGGATGTTATAATTCTTAATTGACAACTAAACAGAATTAACTGTCAGCATCGTAGACATGACATTCTTTAACTACATATTATGTGCTACGGTTTCATAGTTGTCTACAAACATTGTATTCTAGTTAATGAAGTTGCAATGGCTTGCTTTTCAATTTCTATGAATTTGTCCCACTTAATCAACATATAATTAAGTCCTAAATATACTTTTGAATTTGATCATCAAAGCTTTCTACAAAATTGACATTTATACAATTAAACACTTATAAGTGATAAACTTCTTTAAGCAAACCAACATGAAATTGGAAGAAAAAACTTGCTAATACTTAAAGTTTAGGTCCATCCTTGAGATATAAAACTCCCCATCACACTTACATAAGACTCATTATTCGAGTGTCCTGTTCTAATTTCAATTTAAGAACATTAAGTCCTTGTTTGAGCCCTATTTTTATGTGTCAATATATTTTGGATAGTAATTTTTGAAAAAAATGTATGATTAAAAAGTAGGAAAAAATTTAAAATACGTGTAAAATTATTTTATTGGGATAATTTATGGTTGAAAATGAATTTTGAGAAAATGAGGCTTAAATTCGTCGATATGTGAATGTGATTATCGAAATTAGACAAGATATGCAGTTTAGATAATATTACAAAATTTTCCGGGGAAAAAAAGAAAAGAAAAGGAAGATTCTATTAGAATAAAACTCTGTTTGAACAACTTAAAATAAAGTCCAATTCAAATTCTATTTATCCATTGCCAATAGGAAAAATCTAAAATTTTGTCAAGAATGGGATTCGAACCCATGCCCTTTCGGACCAGTACCTGAAACTGGCGCCTTAGACCAACTCGGCCATCTTGAC